AATTTTAAGAATAAGCTTTAAAATCGGACATGTGTCTGAGTTGCAAGAAACAATTCTTTACCTAATTAGGTTATTAAACCTAAATAACAACCAAAGTTCTTGGCTTGGTGTGAAGATTAAATGACAATGAGTGCAATGTAAGGTTGAGAGAGATACTCAAAGGAGCAAATATTACCATGTGAGACTTCCTGTTTAATGTTAGAAATGTACTAGCTTTTTACCATTAGATCACTTCACAGCATTTGAAAATATTTTGTACACTTGTGTGTCGTCAGGACTGTCTTCTGTATAACAATATCATATTTGACCAAATGTAAAATTTGATCAAAAGAAAGCAGCAGGAATATATATATAATACTGGCTCCAACTTATCCTTGAGGGACACCAGAAGTTACAGAGTACATTCTCCATGTTGACAGAATGGGATCTATTGGATAAATACAACATGGACAAAATTACATTAATACAAAATCCAATCCTTCTTTTACTCCATGGCAGAATGTGTTATTGACTGCTTTAAATTCGTGTCCTGCCACGCCCTTGGAGTAACCGTGATGGCTCTTAGTAGCTTTGATCCAAACGTGAGAGCTGCAGCATACCATGTACTGGCCTGTTTCTACCAACATCTGGAGGCCGCTCGCTTCAGAGAGAAGAGACAGGTATGTGGTGATGAACACCGTGAGGGTTTGGGACTGACCTCATAAATCTTGACAACTTTTTCTTTTCTCCAACAGCTGCTGTATTTGATGGACAACCTCAAGAATGGAATTCCAAAGCAGAATCAGAAGCTTCCATTTGTCCTGGCTGTTTATATCAGCAAAGTGGCTCAGCAGATGCTCAGACCCGGTGTGTATCCCTGAACCTTTGGATTTAGTCCCTGATCTGTCTTGTTGGACCCTCATTACTTCCTGAAACATCTGCTAATGAAATTAGGTCATGACTAATTCTTTAAACTTATTTGTTGCTATTGCTGTGTAGGACTAATACGATTTATTTCAGGATTATTGAACTTTATCTTCTGTCTCTGTGTTTCCTTAGAGGACCACATGTATGTGGTGTTAAACAGATTTTTGCTGTCACACCAAAGTTTAGACTTGAGAAGAGTTCCAGAGTTCTTCAAGCTGTTTTATGGTTTTGACATGGAGGTAAATTATTCAGTTTTTTATTTTTTTTTAAATCACTTTTATTTAATGATGGATAAGGTGTTGGATATTTCTGGAATAAATAAAGGACTAAATAAACTTTTTCTGCATCAACAGCATGTAACCTTCATATGTTTGCTTGTTCAGCTCAGCCTTTTTCAATGAGATGTTATCTTTTTCTGGGAATGGGTTAAGGCAGCTGTGGGAGTTGACTTATCCTTTTTTTCTCCTCTAGCACAAAGTGGAGCGTGAGTGGATCCTGAATCTGCTGCAAGAAGGAATAAGTGATGGACACAGCTATGAACTGTGCAGCCATCAAAATATCTTTCAGGTCCTTTTGGGTTTCAGCAGCAGCCCCCTGTGTAGTGAATACATCCAGGTACACACTGCTGCAGATGCAGTACATAATGACCTTTTTTTCATCCAATTTTCATGATTTTTGATTTTTGTTTAATATATTGAACCATTTGGTAGCTGGGAAAACATTCCTGAAGATTATTGGCTCTGTAAAATGTAAAGAAATTATTTGATGTTGATATGTAAATCTTCACTTAGGCACAGATAATCAAGGTGTTGTGTCAGGCTGCCCATGTGCCAAAAGCAGTTTATAACCTCACCAAGAGCTGCGGACTGCTGAGCTGGATGATGCAAGTAGTTGATAAGAAGTAAGTTATCATATTTCTGAATACTTTGGGGGATTAAACTGCATAACGCACTTCATTATGCAATGTGCTTAATGAGGTGCATTAAGTGAATGTTCTTCAGAGGGAGTGAAAAACATTCACTCCCTCTGAAGTTTTTCTAATTGGGGCAGTGAAAGGACCATTTAAGCTAATTTAATCTGTGTAGTCATAGCTGTTATTTGAAGGCCCAAGAGATTTGTTAAAGACCAACCAACAACCACAGCAGACAGGTCAGGAATCACGTTGCAGGGATGTTTTTGATCCATAGCTCTTGTTGGAAAATGAGATACGGATCAAACAGAACAGCCATTATTTATGGGTAAGTAGAAAGCCACTGTTGAAAGAAATCATAAGAAATTATATTTGCAGTCTGCAACCTAATCCAGTTGAGCATTTGTGGCAAGACTTTAGTGAAAGAGTGATTGAAAATGTAAGTATTTAAATTTGTAAATTTAATGGAAATATATCTCAAAAGATGCAACCTGTGTTTCGACAAAGTAACAATTCAGTAAAAATCTGGCACATTTTCAAATTTTTGTTTGTAAAAAATTTTGAGAATCCCACTTGTTTTCTTTGTACATGTTGGTTCTAAGTGTAAAAATGGGAAGAAATTAAAGTGCTATGTATTGTTTATGGTCTGTTTTATGTTTGTAACAGTAATCTGTTTTTCTGTCCCTGGAGGAATCTGACCCAGCAGACAGTATCCGCGGTCATTGATCTGCTTCATAATCTGTGGTTTACCAGCCTTGGGCAGAAGGAGAAGAAGGTTGAAGGAAATGGCGCCACTTTGTCCACTGAGGAAGAACCTCTGTGTTTAGTGAAATGTCTTCCACTCCCACTCATCAGTGAATTTCTCTGTGTGGCTTTGGCCATCAGCAGACACCTCAGGTAAAACTTCATACTTACCAAATACATTCAGCAGTGAAAGTGTAAGTTACAGCATAAATACAGAGCGTCTTTTGGTCATGGATGCCAGTGTTTGTGTGATCTTTTCTTTGCAGGTTGGGTGTGAAGGCCGCTCAGTTGAGCCTGTTTGTGCAGACTCTTGGCTCCGTCCTCGCGCATCAGAGCAGCGCTCTCCATGTAAACAAACAAGCAGACCGACTCACCCTTCATCCACAGCCGCTCTCCTCTACTGAAACACTCTCCCTGCTTTTTTGCTGGGCTTCGTTGTCTCACAACAGCACCATTCTTGCCCAAATACAAGCCCTGTCTGAAAAGCACAAAATAAAGGAATTAATGGGTAAGTGCTGAAAAATGTAATGAGAATTGGCTTTAAGTAAATCAAGGCTGATTTATCGGTGCACCTCTATTTACACCTGAAATTAAATGTACTTTATCTGGATTTATCTGTGATAGACCAACACAAAGTAGTGTATGATGATGAATTCTAAGAGAGACTTGATTTATTACTTTAGCCTTTTTCTAGTCATAAAATTTGAAAGTGTGGCAAGCATTTTTACCACCTGAGTATGTTCTTTGTACAAACGGGTAACAGCTGCAAGTCTTCTGGGTTATGCCAGTCTTTGTACATAAAAAGAATACAATTCTTGCCCATTGGTCTTTTCAAAGCTACCCTATTTGAATACACGCTGTGTAAGATAGTTTATTTAGCCTCTTAATTGATTTTCTTCCAAAATTGGCTTCTCATCATCTTTCACTAGAATCCTGTAGAAAAGTATCCTCATTACATGATTCTGCAACTGCCATATATCATTTTTTTCTATGTCCACTCAAAATGTGAAAAAGGTTTTAGGGCTATGAAAGCAGGAGTGAACACTAGATAGTCATTGTTTCATGCTGTGGCATTATGATTTCTTTTAAATAAAAACTGAATGTTTTCCTTTATCTTCAGGCTTCGGGAAGTATACGGTGCGAAATAAAGGTCGCCTTACCTTTCAACGAGATGGGAACGCTTCAGAGGACAGCAGGACTGTGAAACAAGAAGAGAGTCTCTTGGCAGGCTGCAGAGTTCACCTCAGCAGTGTGTTTGTTTACTGGCAGCCTGTGTTTCAACTGTTAGAACCACCCTCTGCTCAGCCTGGAGGCAAACTGGATTCCAGGCACTTGGCCTGTGATACCGCACACCTGCTTACAAAATGGTCCCTGAGGTGGCTGGTAGAGGACGGATACGACGAAAACAGAACAAAGGACTTCTTGACCTGGTTTGAAAAGGCTGTGATCAAACAAAGGGAAATCGTGGATGTTTTGATGCTTGATGCTGGGGTGAAAGCTGACCTCCTTCAGCTCTTCCATAACACATTTGAAGCTCCGGGTCACGCCAGCACAGAAACCTGCCAGCTCTTCACCAACACTATGATCCACTTATTGGAGATGCGAGGCCAGCTTCCAGACCTCCATCGGGTCATTATTTCTGCCTGCATGTCCGATCAGGACCAGTCTAGACATGGTGAGAACCAGACAGCTTATTCTGAAACGGTCCATAAGTTAAATGAGAGCAGAAGTGCTAGTGGTACCCCTGGTGAAGTTGGTGTCTAAAAAGTCATAAACTGTTGTAAATAACTTTTTTTTCAGGAATATATCATCACATATTACTAGTGTTTATCTTCTGCTTAAAAATAAACTAAGTATTTTGCCTGCCTTAAATGCGTGAAAGACAAAAGAACATCCAATTCAAGGAAATTAGTTGGCTCAAGAAATTTTACATGTAATACAGGTATTTATTGATTTAGTTTCATTTTAAGTTTCATTGATTCCAACTGTTACACAAGGGCGTGTAAAATGGACCTCAACAGACATAATAGAAGCCAAGCAAACTTTTCCTGGTCTAAAAGACAAAACTTGGTACATATGTACATATTTTTACCTTTATTTATACATGTTGTTTCATTGAGATCCAAGATCTCATTTACAAGATGGACCTGTTTTGATAAAGCATCAAGAGTTAATAATAATTGTGTGGCCATGAATATTTCTCTTAAATCACCAGGTAGTATGCCAACTAATAAAAAACTGGAGTTAAGAATTTTTTTTTTTTTTTTTTTTTTTTTTTTTTTTTTTTTTACTAAATGGCAAAATCACACACACAATGCTACTCTTTTGTGATGAGCTGGGGTTTTATGAACTTTTTTCTTCTTTGCAGAACCAGGACTGTTTTTGTTGTCTTTGTACATCCATGAGCTGTGGAGTGGATCATCGTCAGCAGACCTGTTCCTGTCCCACGTCACGTTGGTGACCAGAGCCCAGTGCAAAAGACAAAAAGGGTCCAAATCAACAAGGATTCAAACCGCCATCGGAGCCATCTGTAGTGAAATAATTGAGATGAAAAGTTAATGAAATGCTTGAATTTTTTTGTATTTCCAAACCCTTAGAGTTTGGAAGACTTTTATTTTAATTTTATAGTTTTTTTATGTGTTTAGTTGTTTAGTTAACCTCTATGCAGAGTTCTATTCGTAATATGTTTATGCAACTTCTAACCTTTTATCCACAATAAAATAGACAACCTGACCATTTTCTATTACTGTTTGAATACTTCTCATGTACACACACTGCCATGTAATGCTTATATAACATCTGTGTAAACAGCCTTGTACTTTGAAAGTAATAGGACAGGAACAATTAATCACTTGCATGTTTTTCTACACTGCTAAACACATGGTAATTTTAAAGTGTGCCTTTTTTTAAAAATAAATTTGTATTTGCCAACAAGTTTTACTACTAACCTCCAGAATCAGCCCGTGGTGAAGAAGCTGAGCTTTTGTGGTGACGCTTAACTTTAGATTTGTTTATCCTGGAGTGGGTATAATAGCATATTTTAGAAACAGATCAATTTGCATTATGTATTAGGGTAAAAAACCCTTACTCATTTTCACTGTTCCAATAGATGAACTAGACTTACTTTGGCAACTTCATACTGAGAGACATTAGGTTCAAAATGAGAAAGAGAAATCCCACAAAAGCAGCCAGAGATACCCAGAGTATTATCACAATTGAATCTGAAAAGACAGGACATTGTTATTATAAATCTTTTTTACAAGGATAAGAGGAAAAAAAGTCAGGAGTTAATTAAAACTTACATTTATGGTATTTCAGCTGGCTCTCATCCACAAAAACAGGATCAAGATAATCCAAGTAGTACTCCCATTCATACAGAGGAGCACTGGTGGAGTTCCCCGGAACAATCGTGTAATTTCTGGAGAAATGGCTTGCTGTTCTGTTGCTAGAGTGAAGAGCCGAAGTCGATCCGAACATAGTGAAAACAAAAGAACCAGAAAAAAAATTTTTGATTCATGCAATCCAGGAATTATTCCAACTCGTGTGTTTAAGTGGTCTTCTGTTAATTCTGACAGGTCTGAGAACAGTACTACTGGAGGTGCGTGTAGTACTTAAAATTTGACACACGAGGGCGTATGAGTAGTTCGATTAAACTAAGTAAAAAATTTGTGGGGAAAAAAAATTTAATTTAATGAATTATTAGTAAAGGATAATTGGCCTCCTCTTACTACTTATCCTTAAAGCATACCAAAAGATTTAATGAATCTGCTGATGTTGTGATTTACATCTTTGTACGTCTCTTTTAGTATTAAACAATCCAACAGTAGTGAAGGCACCACCACCTTGTAACGTTCCCGTTAATTTACCAAGTTTTCACAAAAAAAGCCCTCAAATAATAAATACAAATTTAGAAACACAACTTATCTCCTTCACCGGTAAACGACATCTGGAATAAAATGAATATATTTTTTGAGTCCTGACTTGTTAGTATCATTCTGGAAACGCCAGGAATAAGCACAAATGAACACTTTCTAGGGTCTTTGTCTCTGATTCCTGTCGAATATTATATTCTAGTTCTACAAGCTATTATTGGCAGTTATATAAGAAATAGGATGGAGATATCCTGTATTGTCCCAATAGAGAAATTCAACTGTCACAGCAGCATCTTGGTAGAGAGATTCACACAAAAATAAAAACGTGTTAAAAATATGAACAGGATTATTAATAATATAATGTACAACATTACAGCATATAATACACATAACAAAGCAACGTTTCTGAGTGAAACTGTAATAAAGCAAAATGTGATAGAAATGTAATCTCTTTGATATCCCTTCAAAAAGAGAGGGATATCTTTCAAAATGTTGATTCAATTTCAGTCATTGAAACATTTCCTTACAAAATGTGAATTTAGTATTGACATAAACCGCCCTTTTTTCTCTGCTACATTTGAAACAAATTATAATCTTCTTTAGAATCAAATGCAGCAAAAGTTTGATATTTACAGACTTATTCCATCCACATATCACTGTCAAGCTTATCACACCCAGACAGCAGGGGGCGCAATGCATGTCAAAACATACTATACCTATACATACTATACCTTACAACACCTTCTTTACTAACCTATAGTATGTGATACAACTTTGTAAATCTTTGTAACAGACCATATAATACTTTCTAAATCTGAATTTATTCTTTTCGAGGGTCACCTAAGATTAAAATTTAGTTTCTTAAAAGTATTTTCACTCCAGAAAGGATGTTGTTCCCATTTCGTATTTCCGCTTCCTGTGGAGCTCCGCTGGATACATTTCTGCTGCTAAACTCTTGTCCAGGGTGGGATTCCTAGCTTAGCCTTTCCTGAATTCGGATACTAGAAAGCCATTTGACCGATTCGTTGTAATGTTTTTGGCTACACTACTATATATAGTTATTTGTAGTTAGTTTAGTTAAATAAATGTGTGAGTCGAACTGCTTGCATTAATAACAAGCAGTTATGGATGCCGTGAACGCGTTCAACACGGAGGTAAGTTTTTACTCCCAAAGCTAAACCGTTAAGCTAAGCTAACTTCTATCCGTTCTTTATCTGGTCAGACCTACCATAAAAAATAGAACCTGTCAACCCATATTTTAAATTTAATCGATATTTTTAAGATGAACGTCATGTCTCTGTAACCTAGTTCTAATGTTTGGATACTGCTAGTAAGGCCAATAATATTGGGCTACAGATAATAACAAACTCCTACACAAACTTAATGCGAATGTTTAGAAAACGACTGCCTTTAAATACAATTGGTAGTATTACCTCGGGTACATTAGTACTGTTATAATAAGAAATTGTAAGAAGATTTGTTTAGAAACGAACGAGAGATGAATAGTTAAATCGCTATCTCGTTTTTATCTAATGTAGCTTTCTTGTTACGAAATTATTCCAAACGTTATATCCTAATTTGTTTGTCGTACATGCACAAACCAAATTGCACAGATCGGATGTGTGAATAAAATAGACCTTCCTTCAAGCATAAGTTTTTAAGTGTGTTTACATACCTTTTCCACCAAGCTGGTTCTCGTCGATTGCTGAATCTTACTTAAACACACTTCTTTGCATGTCTGTCGACACAAAAGCCTCAGTATTGTCCCTGAGGCCATAAATACTGTTTTTGACTGTTTTTAAACATTGTTTTAATGTTCCCACGCCTGGCGTTAATAAAATCTTGTGCTAGAAGCTTTGTTTTAACTTTAGTTTTCTAGCGCTGGGGGTGGTGATAAGAGATCAGCTGATTAGGATTGTAAGCGTGCAGAAGCAACGTTCATTGTATAGAAAAAGTGTTGATAAATTAAGATTGGGTTATAGTTGTATCATCTATTTCCTGGAATAAAAGGGATTAATAATATTAGTCCTAAGGGTTCAGTTATTTTCTGCACTAAAGTAAAAACAACTGTTAGAATCATTATGTTTTGTTATCATTCTTACATTTGTAGTTTTAATAGATTTAGTATTCACTTCCCTGAGAAAAGGAACTTGTTAGACTTTGGAGCTGCAGCTGCATATAGACCTTGAAGCTGCAGCCATTTCTTATCTTGGGATACTCCTTACATGGCCTGTGTGTAGGATCTTCCTTTGTCCTCCCTCCACATTCCTTTCCTGCTATGCTTTGTAATAAAAGACCAGTTCTGATGTAGAGAGTCAGAACGCATGGCAGACACCTTGAGGAAGTGGTCTGCTGTGTCTTCTCCTTTTGCAAAAGACTTGCTTGAAAACTCAAACGTTGAATGTGGTTCTCTTTTTATGTAGCTTGAGAAAATACCTATCAACAACATTTAGAATACTTACATTGAATACAATGTACATACAACTTTGTTTATACATGTGAAAGATATTTCTTCATAAAAGTCACATACTGCAGCTTTAAAGATGACCAGCAGCTCAATATTCTGGATGGCAGTCAAACTACAGCATTAAAAGAAGGTTTAAGCAAATGTTTTAGTTAATCCATTGGAACTAGTCTAAGAAACCATGCTGTCACCTAGGGTTTGAATCCTGGCGGAACGTTTATTGTACGGAGTTTGCATGTTCTCCCCATGAATGCTCCGGCTAAATTTGAATTAGTTTGTGCTGTTTGTCTCTGTTTTGCCCTGTGATGGGCTGGCAAGCGGCAACCTGTCCAGGGTGTACCCCGTTGACCGCTAGAGATAGAGACTAGCCCTCTTGCGACCCTGCAAGGATAAGGATGTTGGATAATGGCTGGATGTTAGATAATCACCAATGGTGTCAATTAATATTAAGCTAACTAACTGTTTGCATTCCTAATCTAATCTCTTTTATTCAACCAGTTGTTCGCTATGATCGAGATGAAGCCTCCAATATCCCGGGCTAAAATGATGTCTGTTACCAAATCAGCTATTAAAGCCATTAAGGTAAATGTGTAAAATACTCATAAAAAATGCTTACTATGATATGGTGTACATAGTATATCATGAAAAAAAAAAAAAAAAAAAAAAATATATATATATATATATATATATATATATATATATATATATATATATATATATATATATATATATATATATATATTTGTGTGTGTATTGGTACTGATTTCTATTTAAATTTCTTTTATTCAGCTGTACAAACATGTTGTCCAAATTGTTGAAAAGTTCATCAAGAAGGTATGTACATTTGTCTATTTTTTCTGGTTGTTTTTCCTGTAGGTTGTTTTTTTTTTTTTCAAAAATTATAAACACTCCTGAACATACAATTATCTATGAGATAGTAAATATGCTATAGAGGTGTGTTTGACATAAAATATTTATTAAAGACAGAAAAAGAAAAAAGTAGTTTCAGATGGAATGTATGCACTCACTCCATATTGAACAAACACAGTAAAGTGCTTCCTTTTGCTTTCAGACGACAAAAAAGGTTCTTAATTTTAAACTTTATCTTGAGAATATTTGAAAATGTATTTATTTTTTTTCTTTCTCATTTTCTTTCTTTTTTTTTAGTGCAAGCCAGAATTGAAGGTTCCTGGTCTATATGTGGTTGATTCCATTGTACGGCAGTCACGCCATCAGTTTGGTGTTGAAAAGGATGTTTTTGGACCCCGGTTTTTGAAGAACTTCTCAGATACTTTCCGAAACCTTTACTGCTGTCCGGAGGATGACAAGGTACTATTTGTAATTTAAATGTAAGATGATCATGTAACATGATTGAGATATTTTTAAAACGCCAATGTCTGAATTTTTTTGTCTTTTCAGAATAAAATTATCAGAGTGCTAAATCTCTGGCAGAAGAATGGTGTGTTTGATATGGAGATCCTTCAGCCTCTTATGGATATGGCCAATGGCACTGTTGTCCCACATTCTGCTACAGAAGGTAATGAAGTGTTAAACATTATAACACACATAAATGTACTTAAAAGAAATGTAGTGTCTTTCATACTTTGGTAAGTAATATTCCTTTATTAAATAATTTTATATTCATGTTCTGAGTAGTTCCTGTTAACCCCCAACTAGAGTCTACATCTCTGACTGGTAATGCTTCAGACGTACCGTCTGTCCTACCCACTCCAGAAGCTTTAGCTGCTGTGGCACAACTCTTTCAGTCCTCTCATGCTCAGGAGGTAAGTTGTAAACTTTTTTAGATCTCCATCAAGTGAGCCAAGATTTTGTTTAGTATGATTTCATTTTGATCACCAGCTGCAGAGGATGCTCCAGAACTTTCAGCAGGCTGAAAGAACAGTTGGAACATCTACAATTGCAAATAACATAACAAACCAACATCAGATGCCAGTAACCCAGCCCAACCCAAGGTTTGATTCTGTGAAGAAAGGTTCTTTAGCTGAGGTATTCATAATTCTCTGTGTTTCAAATGTTTTTGAAATTCAGTTCAGTCATTTACCCTTTTACACTTTTATGTTTGTTTGTTTTTTCCAGAAACTACTTGACCGATTTGACTATGATGATGAACCTGAGGATATGGCAGTGTCGGAAGGCAAAATTCAGACACAGTGAGTGCTAAGGACAAAATTGTGAGGGGGACAGGAATTATCAAAGTTAAAGACGAAAATTGGTAGTTTTTGTT